TGCACTTTCAGATTTAAAACTTTGCAGGATGTTTTCATTCACTTAGAGCTGTGTTACACACTGCATGAACTGCAATTTTCAAAAATCCATAATAGGGGCAAGTTAAGTAAATATACACAAATATCCATTAAAGCTACAGTTACTTAGTTAAGAGCAGCGAGTGATTCTCTCTTTTTCTTTTATTGTTTGATTAATATTATTAACATAGCCTAAAAAAAATGTACGGGTCCGTTAATGCACATCCGATATTTTCTTAACTATTTATGTTCACTTAAGACGTAACCAACATGTTTTTACATCGATACTCGTCAAGATAGCCATTCAGAGATCATTTTGCGCCAATTTTCTCAAGAACTGAAAAATAACTCAATTTGGTATTTGCTTGCTGTCTGAGAGACTGCTTCCTTGTGTGTGTGCATCAGGTGTGTGTGCGCACAGAGACAATCTATTACAGCACGCGAGTACCGCATTGAGATCTATTTTGTGCCGTCTTGTGCTTGAATAGCTTAAAATCACTTAAATGTTTAACCCTTTAGGTGCCAGGGATTTTTGGGAAAAATGCTGGATTTTGACATCAAGAACACTTTGAATAGGAACGCGACTAATTTTGGTCTAGAATCGAAGTACTACATGTCTGCCATCTAGTGGTAGGGAATACAAATGAGATATTACACCATATTAGGAACTACAGTCTATTTTATTAAGTATGACGTCTTGTCGCAATTTTGCGACTTTGGCGCTTAGAGGGTTAAACTGACAAGCCTTAAAACACATGAGAATGATAAACTTAGAGGAAGCAGCACTGGCCCGATCGTTCAGATAGTTTTAGGGGGCTGAGACAACAGATAGGGTCTAGGGCCTAAAAAGGGTCTAGAACCGCCCCTGTCGCTATACACCTATACACAATTTGCAGAAAGAGAAAGCTGAAAACCATCAGAAGAGCAAAAACAAAAAGAATGATTAGATGGATGACATGTATAGCAGCATGCGGTAAGGAACATTCATATCCTGGAGATAAGTCAGTAAATTCGAGTAAAATCACAGGCTTCGCTTATCCCGTGCGAATGCGCCACATGAAATTCAGATGTGGTGGGGTAATTTCTAAATCACACGACGTCCCCAGATAATAGTAATCCTGTGCGAATATGGCTAATGAAAGTGTTTTTTTGACCTTGCATGCATGTCAACCTGTTGTTGGGGACTCCCAAAACCAAAATATGAACCTTTCATTACCCATAATAGGGGCACTTTAAATCAACAACAAACTTTCCAATGGAGTAAGAAAAATAAGGTTAATTATTTGGATAATTGTCTAAATATTTTATGAAATTTTGCTTCTCAAGTAAGTATATCCTGTTTTAAGGATGGTTAAATATTAGTGGATAACAGCACAATACAAAAATACTGATTATTAAAATTATAATTTTATTTAATTAATTATTTATTTATTTTGTTGTGTGCTGGATACGTGTCATGACTGTCTTGATCCAATTAAGTTGCCTTTAAATTTGTGTTTGGAATTTGGAAGAACTTTTCTGAATTTAATATATTTCTGAATAAATGTTTTTATTTAGACCTTAGAATATATATCTATTCTTCTTGACAAGTATAATAGAGTAAATATTCTGTATAAATATACATATATATCACACATAGTTTAAATTTATTCAGATTGCTATATTTGTTAGACATTATCATTATTAGATATACTGTAAATCGTTATGAAAACATTTTGAGCAAATGTATTTTGAGTATGATTTCACACACAAAAGTGTGAATGGGTCCAAAAGCTTTTTTTTTTTTTGTACACAATATAAAGGATATCTGAACATCTCAGATTGGAGAACTTAATGGCTTGCTACTTTTAAATTATTCACTTTTGGTTTCATGGCCGAACAAATTGAAAAAAGGATATTGCATATTCACAAATGATTTCCAATGGTAATTAGAGCCGCGTTCTGGTATATGAGAAGTTCTGACTCTAAACAGTAGAAACTGAATTCATAGTTCATTGATTCAAGAAAGAAAGAAAGGAACAAAGAAAGACTATAACTGACAAAATCAAAATTGAGCCTATTTACTTTCTTAATACATGTTATCATAATTGTGATTGATTCATCAGTGCACATATTTGCCAATTAAAAAATTTTGCTAATTAAACAAAATCATCATATTCCGTCCTCAAAATGCAATTAAGCTCTGAAACGACATTATTTTGCATCTATTATCACAAATTTCTATTACTTCTCAACCTCTTCTCTCCAATCACCTGAGTCTAATCTGATATGTAGCACTTGCTTTTTTGAATCAGCTCAGGTTAAAAACACTCCAGTCCCACCCTATATTTTTTTCAATTTTATTTGGAAATAAATTAAATTACATAAGTAAAATGAGTTGCGGAAGGTATTTCATGTTGACTTTAAACTGGTTAAAATTATCCTGCAAACTCTCTTGCCCCAGACTCTCTTATTTTGGCAACACTGTTACTAAAGCAAACACACATTTTGACACTTCTGTTTTCTTTTTCTTCCTTATTTTTGAATGTGAGCACTTTAAGACAATCTAAAACCCTCAGCTCATCCCACAGGGACATAACCACCACAGACATTGGGATACTTTTTCCCCAAATTATTCTGATTAGTAATCAATCAAGATCTTTCACTGACTGATGGTCCCTCCAGTACTGAACATGTGGAATGAGAGTGGAACGGCATGCTGGGAGTTTACAGTAACATAGCAAACCTAAACCCCCGCTAGCATTTAGCTACCGCTTACTACATAAAGCGGATGACATGAGCGTTCACCCTGTCCAATTCTGGGCTACTTTATTTAACTCACACAGATCCATCCCAGACTCTACGGTAATGTTAAACAGCTCAGAGTTCTGCTGATGCATGTAAACACAGACTCAACCGTACCATGTGAGGATCAATTCAGCAGCAATTACTCAAACTTCTAGACTTTCATGTGAGCGGATGAGTGGGATATGAATGGATCTGAAGTCATCTATGTGAAATGAACTGCAAAGAAGTAGAAAAACATCACAGGCAGGCTGTATATATTTTGTCTCTGCCGGGCAGGGTGGCGTCACTTAACAAGACCGAAAGCATCACTTGTAATCTTGGCGAGGGGTGATTTGCTCTTCTTTACTTTGATCTTACACAACTTGTTTTCTGAAACGGATATTTTCGATTGGATGAGCTGCTTTTGAAAGCAGTTGCATTAATGCACCAAGTTGCTATGCTGTAAACAGCCTACACAAATAAATATTACTTGCTAGAAGAATAATTAAGATTAATATACAGCATTCTCAGGTAATGCATTAACTGATGAAATGCATACAGTATCTTGAATGCAATGTAACTTTGGATAAAAACGCCTGCCAAATGCATAAACATAAATATGAATAAACTTCACCTTTTTTTGCACATTGGCATCTTATACTATATTGCAATTGCAGCTATTTCACAAAAGCAATAAGCCACTCAAAACGTGAATATATATATATATATATATAGTACACATTTGTGTACATTTTATTCATTTAGTATGAAAAATGAATATTCAATATTCAATATCAATATCAAATGTGGTTTTCAACCAACTTTTATATTAATATTACATATTTCTAAGAAGACTGTTGAAAAATGTATGACAGGTCTTCAGTTTTTCCATTAGAAGTTGATTTGATTGTGAAAACTGAGAATTGCATATGAGAATGACAGGTAATTGGAGGAATTTGTGACGTCAGCCACATAGGAAAGTCGTTATGAAGTCAAACATTTTTTTTATTTCTAGTAATTGCAGTGATGTATCACGCACAATTAGACAAGATACATGCATTAAAGTGTAAATATCAGTTTTGACCTCAAGTTGATTTAAATCTTCATCTCGCCCTAAATGAGCACTTCATGAGCAGAATGATTCTGCATTGTTTTTAAAACAAAACCAGACTCGATCCAAGAGCAGGAAGCACCTCATCACATGTTGACGTTACCATAGTGACAAATGGCTTCTTCTGAGGAGCTCAGGAGATGCAGATGCCAGTAAATCACTAATGTTGACTTGGGCTCGTACCCACACATATACACAGTGACCACAGAAAGGCCGAGAGTGCCCTGGCTCCTGAAGTTGACTGGTTTGTGAGTTCCAGTAAAGGTTGGTCTAGCTCGTTCCTCCCTTGCGCCCTGCGCTGTGAGAGCGTTTATGGTGCTAATGCTTGTGGTGAGCAGGCCATTATGATCCAAACCCATCAGAACTGCTCCAAACAGACTGCGGCATTATAAAACAAACATCTTACGGGAGACAAATGCGCAGGTAACTCATATGCACAGATTTGTGCATTGAATACCCTGATCTAGGTTTCACGGCATCTATGGAAGGCCATAAAGGCTCAAACATATATACATAGAATTACATGGTGCTCTTTTACATCAACAGACATTTTAAGCAGTCTGTTTGCAAAGCAAAACAAGCATTAACTGGTCTATGCTTTAAACAGACAGGTTGCACTTTAAAAAGTGTTAGATAATATTTCTCAAGGGAGTTTGTAGTCCATTTGCAACACGTCAAACCCAAGCATGCACTGTCACACGTTCAGCACTGCTAAACTGCCACAGATTCACAGCAAACTACAGCAGATACACTCTTATGAACGTTACAACTACGCCTGACAGCTTTTTGGTCACCACAGCAGTGGCGGATGAGGGAAGGGAACACCACGATGAGTGACTTACCTCGCAGTAAACTGGGCGAGTAGCTGGAGAATGTGTCGAAGATGCTGTTTGAAGCCATGTGTCCCACTCGGGAGGGAAAAGAGCTGGCCTCTCCGCCGCCTCACCGACTTCAGCCTGAGAGAATGACAGTCGGCGAAAGAGAAATAGAGAAACTACATAGACTGCCTGCAACCAAGAATTTGGGGTTTGAGAGTGCCACAGGAATCTTCCGCCACAAGCCGTCTAACAGAACAGCATATGTGCCGTGTGGTGAGAGTGAGCAAGAGTGAGAGAGAAAGAGAGAGAGAGAGAAAGACCAAGCCACTCTGAGTGATGGACTCACTTTTGACGATGGACACTTTTGTCTGTCTGTCTCTCTAGTAGTGGTGGTTGTACTCTCGACGTGGTTTTAGTCAGGTAGTTGAAAGTTCAGGTGTCTGACGCTCTCGCATTGGTGATCTCCGTGGGAACGGCCTGTCAGTTGCATGTCTGAGGTATCCGAGGTCACAGCTCCCGCGGTAGGGCTGCTACACGGCAATCCCATGATCTGATTGGTGGACCTCAAGTCACATGACTCTCTCTCTCTCGCTTGCATGCAGTGAAGTTCTCTTTTCTTTCCCAGTGTGTTTCACACCCATCTGATTGGCTGATGGGTGTTTTTTAAATGGTTTCTTGGAGGACGATGGGACCTTCTAGAAGAGGGGCCACGAAGCTTAGATGTGACACAAACTCAAGTGAAAGACACTGCAGAAAATGTGGGATGTAAGAGGATTATTAGGGAAAAGAGAGTACTGATGTGTGTGTGCAAGTGTGTTTTGGTGGTTTTGAGCATGTTAAACCACCCTTCCACCCTCACTCACCACTTGATAGTATCTCAATGTTAGCCTCATTAAAAACAGCCAAGCCAGTCATTTCATTAGGCCTCCCACTCAATTTTTACCCTCATTTGTACCCAGTACTCTGTGCTTTATGAAGTTGACATGGCTGTGGGCGGCCTACTTTTTATTTCCGAAATATTAGCGGGATTTGACACAACTTTCATGTATGGCCTGATTTCAGTGGCCTTGTTAAAAGCAAACATGTGTATCTTTTTATCTACACCATCCAACTGTGCCTGTCGGTATGCATATGTGTGTGTGTGGCTGTTTTGGCTGGTTACTAAGGCTTTACTACATGCTTGCTGGATATTGTTAGGCAGTATTCTGGTATGAATAGATAGAACGATAGATAGATAGATAGATGGATAGATAGATAGATAGATAGACAGACAGACAGACAGACAGACAGATAGATAGATAGATAGATAGATAGATAGATACAGTAGATAGATAGAATGACTGATGATATATAGAACAATTGATGAGAGATAGAACAACAGAACCATGATAAACAGAACAATTGATGAGAGAGAACAACAGACAGACAGACGGACAGACAGACAGATAGACGGACGGACGGATGGATGGATGGATGGATGGATAGATAGATAGATAGATAGATAGAT